AGCCATGAGATTAAAAGACGCCTGCTCCTTGGGAGGAAAGCGATGGCGAACCTAAACAGCATGATAAAAAGTAGAGACATCACCCTGCCAACAAAAGTCCGCATGGTCAAAGCAATGGTATTCTCAGTAGTCATGTATGGCTGCGAGAGTTGGACTATAAGGAAGGCCGAGCGCCGAAGAATAGATTCTTTTGAACTATGGTGCTGGAGAAGACTCTTGAGAGTCCCTTGGACTGCAAAAAGATCAAATCAGTCAATCCTAAAAGAAATCAACCCTGACTGTTCCCTGGAAGGCCAGATAATGAAACTGAAGCTCAAATACTTTGGCCACCAAATGAGAAGGGAGCACTCCCTGGAGAAGACCCTGATGCTGGGAAAGATTGAAGGTCAAAGAAGACGGGGACGGCAAAGGATGAGATGGTTAGACAGTGTCATAGATGCAACGAACATGAAATTGAGCAAACTTCAGAGGACAGCGGAAGACAGGAAGGCCTGGCGTGATCTGGTCCATGGGGTCGCGAAGAGTCAGACTCGACTGTGCGACTGAACAACAACAAATAAATGGCTGATGCACTCACATTCATTCATTCAACAGGTGAACTTCACACATTGCAGCCGCCAAATGTCCTTGCTGTGATTTGACCTTTTTGAAAACTGGAAGCGACGGAGGTTGTGTCAGCCGACTTATCTTCTGTTTTGTGCTTCCACAAACATGACTCCCAAGAGGCCAGCTCTAATGCCTGTTACACCAGCCACCAGCTTCTTCGTGGGAAATCGGGAAACGCAAGCATCAAAGATTCATCTAATTGTGTGGGTGGTCAATCCTAGGTTTCCAAAACAGCAATAACTGCCAAAACATTTCTTCTCAATGTCGCCATGAAAAGGTTGTTGAATTGTTGGTACATAGAAACGGAGATATTAATGGCACTACACAAATTCAGTTGTTTTTCTCATTTGTAAATTTTGTCATTTTTCTAAATTTTATTTTTGAGTAACAATAAAAGAACAAGATCAACCATAAATAACAACCATATTAACAATAGCCAACTAGAAACATCAAAACAGGAAGTATGTATTAATACATACATTAATACATAACATAAGATGTCAAACGTTTTATCAATAATCACAAAGAATTGAACATTAACTTTAGAATAAGTCATAACATGAAATCACAGAAACGATATAATCTCGAGATATCTTTGAGGAATAGACTGAAAGGGTACCCTTTTGTTTATAAAAGTTGCTTCAATGAATGGGAGCCATTTTGAATAGAAAATAGATCGGGGGTGTTAATTTTGTCATTGTTCACAGTGTGTATATTTTGTTTGCCTACCCGGAGGCTGGCAAGTTGGTGGGCTCCCTCCGTGTGAGAGAAGTGTTGCGGTCACAGAATGCTGAAACTGGACTGAGCCACAGCAATATACCTAATTTTTTAAAAATCATATTTTTAATGTCATCCTTCTTCCAAGGAACTCAGACCACCCGTACATGGCCTTCTCCTATTTTATCCCACGAGAAGTGATCAGGTAGGTTTGGCTGATTTCCCAAAACCTTAATGTCTACGCAGAGCAGCAGCAGTGGAATATTCCACCTTTTTAAAACAGGTAAAAAAATCAAAAGTTTATTTTTAAAAAAATGAATAAGAGAATAGCTGGGTAGAAAGGCAGACCAACAGACAGCACAGATGGATACTTTGTGATAATTTATTTAAAATGTTCCGTCGTTCCTCCTTTCCGTGTCCAAATGATG